TCAGGTCATGATCCTGGAGTCCCGGGATCGAGTCCCACATCGGGCTCCCTGCTCAGCAGGGGGTCTGCTTCTCCCTCTGCCCTCTTCCCTCTCGCGCTCTCTGTCTCTCATTCTCTCTCTCTCTCAAATAAATAAATAAAATCTTTAAAATATATATATATATATAAAATTGCCTTGATCTTTGATTAAGCCTGTCCAGGAGGGGAAAAAAAAAAAAACAGCTACAAATTCTATTTTGGGGACATGTGGGGAATTTACATATGGACTGTATATTAGGTAATATAATTGGATCAATGTTAGATTTATTGAGTGTGCTGTTTCTGTGGCTATGTAGGAGAATGTCGTTGCTCTTAGAAGATGCATGCTGAAACACCAAAGGGTGAAGTTTCATCATGTCTGCTAAAGGTTCAGGGGAAAAAACTGTCTTCCCAGTGGTTCACCTAAAATAAAACGTGTGTTGCGTGCATGTGAATGAGGAAGTGGGTATAGAGAAAAAGGTAGAAACCCAATGTGGCCAAATGTTAACCTTGGGTGAATCTGGGTCCAGGGTCTTCTGGAACACATGGACATGCTCCTCCCAGCTCTCTCTTCAAGGAAGGAGAGTAGTCAGCAGACAGTCTCCAGCTGTCAGCACCTGCAGAATCTGCCTCCGCTGCGGGGGGCGGCCCCACTAGAGTCCTGCTTTTCCCATGGCAGCCGCATCCAGTGACGGAGAGCGTGGGGCACAAAGGGCCAGTCATGCTGCCAGCAGGGGACCTCTAGGAGCATGACCTGTGCTAGGGCTCCCCACTGGGTTCACAGAGGCTTCGTCAGGACCCATCACAGTCTGACTCCTCTTCTCTCTGACCCTCCTTCTCGTCCCTCCTTGCGTAGGTGTTGATCCCTAACGAACACCTCAAATCCAAAACAAACAAACAAACAAACAAATGCAAGAGTAAGAAGAACCTCCAAAATGAGAACGCTGCATAGTGACAGAAAGCCTACCATGTTTAGGATTAAAATCTGAATCCCTGACAGCCAGACTAATCTTTTCTCCGCACAAATCAGAGTCATCTAGATTTCCATTAATATTTATCTCCTTGAATCTGAAGGAAGAGGGAAACCTATGTATTTTGCCCAGTTTTGCTTTTCCCATCCTGAATTGCAACATCAGGTTGGTGAGGTGCCAGTTGTCCGTAACGACGGAAGTATTAGATCCACGGCGTGGCATGCAGAGCAACGCAAGTCCTCGAAGTGACTTACTTCAAAAGCCAAGAACCAGAAATTCAACCAAAACTTCAAATAAAAGCTAAAAAGACTGGAATAATCACACAAAATTTTAAACCCAGAAGTTTCTCTTGCTTAAATTACTTTCACACTCCAATTTAAACTCAGAAACGTTATGCCGCTGTCACACTTCTTTGTTCTCCCAAAGGAAAAAAAAATCTGTATATAGCTGACAAAAAATAGGAACCTGTCTGCCAGCAAGTTCTCTATTCATGTCTAACATACTGTAGAGTCTATGCAGAACACATGGTCTTTAAACACCAAAAAGCCTCTTCTTTTCCTGGCTTAACACTGCAGTATGTTTCTCCAGCATGTTTGCACTACCTACATGTCTTGCATAAGCATGCATTCCTTTGGATGTTTGAGTCATGCAGTATTTTCACATGCTTTGATGTTGCACATATGAGAATTATCATCTACATTTTGGGAGTACAGTTCCTTGTGCCTTCAGCATTGAATTTAATACTGCTCAACTGCCATGATTTTAAGTTTCATCCAACAGAATGTCAATAATGTCTATGAACAGAAGTTTGACATATTTCGTTTTCTCAAATATGGAGTTGGTGCAGCAGCTAAGTTAGAAATTTCTGGGTGCACTTTTGAAAACTAATTCAGTGTGAAAATTATTAGTGACTTAGAATTGTGCATAAAGTATTTTGGTTTTCCTTATTTTCTTATCCACAAAGATCTGTTGCTTCAAATCGGATAAGTTTCCAAGTGGCAAGATCCATCTTGTTTGTCGGAACTCAAAGTAATCCTCATCCTAATGTGGTGTTCTTTATTACAGATGAGACCCATTGGCCACGATGGCTATCATCCCACTTCTGTCGCTGAGTGGCTGGATTCCATTGAGCTAGGTGACTACACCAAAGCCTTTCTAATTAATGGCTACACATCGATGGACCTGTTGAAAAAAATCTGGGAGGTTGAACTTATTAACGTAAGTTGGTCTCTTAAAGATACCTTACCCGTTCAACCTTTGATAAATGAAATTCCGTTGTAGGTAGGTAATATTTTCTTTCTTTGTTACTATTTGGACATCCATCAGGAATTTACAGATATGCCTTCTGCTTTAAATATACGTCTGTCTTGTTTCCAGTCAAGCTCCACAGTCATTGTCTTTTAAAGTTTGGATGCGGGAAACTATGAGGACTCTCAGGGTGTTTTGCGTTACCGAGAAAAACTTCCCAAGCATTTTGAGGCTTTCCATTTTAGAAAATTTAGTCAGCTCAGGATATGGACATGATAACAAATAGGCTCCCATCCTGATCTTGCTCATATTCACTGTTAGAGTTCTCAGTTTTAGTTTCCTATCTCTATTATGCTTCCCTGTCTCTATTCCTTGGCTGCATATATAAATCCCATTCTTGAAGACACTGCATTTGTTTTATTAAGTAGGCTGCTATAATATCAAAATTTTATTATCCAGAGTTTATACCTAATCTTAAGTTGTCTCTGTTTTATTTATATACTTGGCATAGATTTTCTATAAAAACTGGCCAACTTATGTTGCCATGTATTCAGGCCCAAAGAGATCAACTAGATCTGCATAAATGGTATTAATACTGATACTTTACTTATTTCATTTTTACTGCTCATTTATGTCCAATGGCATCAAGGAATGAAAGAATGAAGAGGTAACATGTAATTATCATGCCTTCACCTTATATTTGGCATCCTGAACATTTCTTTTCCAAAATGAGTGAAAAATCATTTAATCTTTTAGAGAATTTCTTAGATTTGAATTTTATATTCTAAAACTTTAAGAAACACTCATAACCTGAAAGATAAAGCAAATAAATTTCTGCTGGTTCAAAAGAGATTCATTCTACTCTCTATGCCACTTTCTCTCCACAAGTCCAGTCGCTGCATATTGCATGCCATTAATTATTTTAAATTATTTTTATTAGTAGTAACTAATTATTCTTTGCTTTTAAAGGTCTGTCTTAAAAATAATATCTTTTCTAGAACATCTCATAAAAACTGTCCTTCGATCTAAAAATCACGGTAAATGGACTAATTCTTGGCCCCTTCTTCTAATTTGCTGGCCCCTTCTTCTAATTTGCTTTCTGTCCTTACTCCCTCACAAAAGCTATCATTATTTCAGCAGAAACTCACTGTCTGACTGAAAGCCTCTGATTAATTTTGTTCTTAGCCTGTGTGGCAACACAGCAGAACTCACAGAGAGTGTGTTGCATTCTGGTTGCATCCAGAGATTTCAGATCTCCACCAAGAATCCAGGACTCATCCGATGGCTACGGTTAGCCATTTGTTAAAGGGGGACCTTCCATAGATCAAACAAACATGTTTCCAATTAAGTGACATTCTAGTCAATTATACAACTTGACAAATATCTCTGCATAAAGTTTTCCAAATAATATTGTTCCCCACTGAAGAACAAATACTTAGACAGCATGAGTCACTCACTTAATGGGCATTAGCAGTAATCCCTCATTGAAAAAGAAGGGATGCCAATAGAACTCTATGATAAAATGTTTTCTTTGAAGCAAGGCTCATCAAAGCAGGACTAGAAGTCTCTCAAAATCCAAATGCTGGGGCTAACGTTGAAGGTGTAACCTTGGGCCCATACTCTTCCCAGTGCTGGGGGGACCAGCAGCCTAGGAATCCCTGTTCAGTCACTGTGTCCCTTGTGGATGACTGCATTGACTTCAGTTGGGGAGACTCTGAGGCCCCAGGTTTAATGCCAGGGCTCAGGGACTGATCTACCACCACCCACAGACCCACTAGGCTTGAGTTGGGACAGAAGAATAGCCTTTTCCACCCATACAGACTCGAAGCATTTTCCCTTTAGTTCCATGTGCTGTAATACAATCTGTCTTCAGTACTGTGAGAAGTAGCTTGTCACAAGCATTGTTATCAGAACTAGAAAACACAGTCACTGTGTCTGAGATCTTGAGGCCAATTCCTCTGGGCGGAGTACATCTGCATCTAATATCAACCCAGTATATTTTCCTTAAGCTGATAGAATTTAAAGTTGGTGACATCTTTATGGGCAAGTTCACACTCTTGAGGAGGCTTTTCGAGTCATTTAATTCCATAGGTTTATTTATTATAAACAAAAATCGATCTGTACCCTTAGACTTGGAAATCAGAGAACAAAATTTTTATGCCCACCAGAACTCTGCTACAAGGGTGATGCCTTTGATGGTTCTGGGTTGTTGGGTTTTAAAATGAAAGAAAGGCACAAATGTGTGCCTTCTGGCTTACAAAGCTTTAGGCTAGTCTCAAATTCAAGGCTTTAATTCATCCCAACTAATGAGAGAAGACGTCCAAATATGAAATAATCTCATATATAATATATGGGCCCAGCAATTCTATATTAAGTACCCATAATTTGTTGTTTTCTGGCCTGAAGGGAATGTGCAGTCACTTTGATTTAGAGCAAAGCTTTTTAGAGAAATTCACATCCTGAATCTTTGTAATGAGTGGCTCATTTTAAGGAAGCCGTTTGGCTTCAGTAACTGTTGTTCTATGTAAAGTGAAGAGAAAAGTGCAAGGTGGGGGGCTGTCTTTGATACTGGGGGCTGCTGGTGGAGGGGAGGAGAGCAGAGGGTGAGGAGGCTGGCTGTTGCTGTAATTACAAATACGTTTAGCATCACTAAATAGTATTGAGTAAGCCTCTAATTTCACATGGTATTTTGCTTGATATTTGAAAATAGTAACACATTCTCATTGGGTATAAGTTTATTCAAAGTATTTTCATGAAGAAATGAAAACTATACAAAATTGTGATTTGAAAAGTACAAATACATCTGAAATTATAATCTTTCAAAAATACCTCAAAGATTTTTTTGTGTGTGTGTGAAGTGCATTATTACCTTTGAAAAACAAGGTTATTTGAATAACCTAATGAAGATTTTGGTCACAAAACTACCCAAAGTATAGTATAGGGATGAGGGAGATTAATAGAAATCTCATTTCTTAATATCAGCATTCTCAGCCGTGGAAATCAAGCAGAAAAGAAACTTTTAAGACATAGGTTTTACAGGCCCATGTGTGTCTAGACTTAAAGAATTTAGATGCCAATAATTGTTCCTTTTATTCCCTAATCCATGCTTCATATGCAGAAGCTCTTTTATTAATAGCTTTGTTTTGCCTGTGTCTGCTACTATCATTAATAACATCATTAATACTATTCTTACTTTTGTATTGATATTTTAGTGTTATGTGAATATATTGAGAGAGATTGTCGGGCAAATTGTTCCCTGTGCAGATGCTAGCTGGATAAACCTCTCGCTTGAATTATAGTCCTCTCCAAAGGCTTGTTGAGAGAGCTAAAGACTAGTTAACAGTGCATTAGTACATGAATTTTCTTTACTCATAAGTTTACTCAGGCCTTGTACAAGGTATTACCAAGTTTACAGAGCAGTTCCTACTGCTATTGATAACCTCAAGCAAAAAAGTATGGCAATTAATAATTATTATTAATATTTAATAATTTATTTTACCACTGAGTACCTACCAAGGGGATTTTGGTTAGATGAGATAAATTTGAACACTGTCCAGTTTCTTAATGTGTAAATCTTAGTGCAGAATATGTCATAAATTTCTTCCCAGTGGCTTTACCATTATTTACTAAGGAAATAATTCTAGCCAATGCTTATGATATCCTACAATACTGATAATGATAAAAGTACCCACCAAGGTGTGCCTGGGTGGTGTAGTCAGTTAAGCGTCTGACTCTCGTTTCGGCTCAGATTGTGATCTCAGAGTTGTGAGATCTAGCCCCATGTAGGGCTCCATGATCAGTGCAGAATCTGCTTAAGACTCTCTCTCCCTCACCCTCTCTCTCTGCTCCTCCCCACCGCCACCCCACCCCCACCCCACCCACCCCACTCTCTCTCTCTCTCTAAAATAAATAAATCTTAAAAAAGAAAAGTACCCACCGAAAGAACAAAATAAAAATCAGTTTTAGTGCATTCTTAATTCTCTGTTCATAAGTGCAAGAATAGCTTTAAAAATCTAACTACAGTGATTGGCTGTGTTTTAAATACCTTCGGGTAGAAATAAAATAATTAAGGTAGCAATACCCATATGTGTCCCATGAAAATCATTTGACTTATTTTTTTTCTTTTTTTTATTATGTTATGTTAATCACCATACATTACATCATTAGTTTTTGATGTAGTGTTCCGTGATTCATTGTTTGCATGTAACACCCAGTGCTCCATTCAATACATGCCCTCTCTAATACCCATCACCCATTTGACTTATTTTTGCAGCAGAAAATTGATTAGAAGATCATTTGCTTCTTGCCTAACAGCTGCTGAAACTATACTTACATTACTCTTTCATCTAGGACTCTCAGATTTTTCTGGTTTCGGTTTTTTGGTTGGTTTGGGGTTTTTTTTCAATGTTGATTTAATTTCTACCTTTCCAGGGAAATTTTGTGATAATCTAATCACTTGGAGATGTACTAAGAAAATTTCAAATTTAACATTCTAATTTTATGTTAAATCTTTAATTATGCGACTTTATTTGCTTTAAATGCTATAGAAATACAGTCCCATCAGTATCAGGTTTAGACTCATTACTTGCTTTGATGTTTTATTTCATGATCAGCATTATAAACTCTCACTCCTTTCTACCGTACCCTTCCTGCTTGTAACTGCAATTAAATTTACTCCCTAAAAGTCTTTTTTGCGTCGTGCATGTGAATATGTGTGTCCGCGTCTGTGTACACGCATCGGATAAAGGCAAATGGTAACTCATACTCCCAACCAAGAAGAATAACCAAATTCACAAATTGCAGGGGATGTAAGGGGAGGATGAATGTTATAATTCGATTTCCAAGCCAATTATTTTAAGTAAAAGGTTATGCCTTCACTATAGAACATTAATAAATGAGAAAAACATTCATATTTCCACATCAGGGAGGCTATATCGTTCAACACTTCAAATGTTAACAACTTTAATCAA